ATAACAGTCTCCGTGCGTTTTCACGGTACCATTCTGCCAGGGGGCAGATCAGCCCCGTCCACAAAATTTTTCAAGCACTAGATATCAGCAACAGCGAGGCAGGATCTGGCCTGGACCTAACAGAGATATGAACAGTAACCGCGCCTGTGAGAGTACAGCTTCAGGCAATGTGTTCTGTGGGCATTGCAGACGAGCGGGTCACACAGCCTACTTTTGTAGAGAGCGCTTACTTCCTGACAATATTGCACCGCCACAGGACAGGTCCAGACCTGACTCAGCAGTATTCAATGCGTGCGCCCCCAGTAGCCAGTTGATGCCCTCGTCGGAGCCGGTTTGACCTGATGAACAAGATCTTGGCCATAATCAGGAGTTAGTGTGGCTGTGACAGCAGAACCAAGCACTGCTCCAACAAAATAGACGCTTAGCCAATATCAGGGCTGGGGCCAGTGAAGTCGCGGTTACCGCCAGTACCATACGTCCCCTCACGAGGGCCCGAACAGAGGCACCAGCAGTATCCGCAGCACCAATTGCGTGCCCAGTGCAGCACAATGCACGATCAAAAACGGATGACTCAGGAGGTCAATCTCGCACTCTAAAAGTTCCGGCCTTGTCGCTTCCGGTGTGCGCGCAGGCCTTCCAGGGAGCATACAGCGCCTAAATTGTTGTTAACGTCAACAGAATATTCACTACGGTACTTATAGACACCGGAAGTGGACTCACTTTACTTCAGGATACCGCAGCCGTCCTCTTTGGTATTCGTGACTTAGACACACCTTACACAGATCTGGCTACCGGAGTAAGCGGCCATACGCTCCGCATTACTGGCGCTGCGGCTGTGGATCTTAAAATTGCAGGCTTCAGCCTCTCAACGGTAGTTCACTTTACCGACAACAAAAGCATGACACTTGGGACCCCTTATGATGCCATAATCGAGTGCTATACGCTTGCTCAATTGCCTCCGTTCAGTATGGATTTTCAGCTGCAGCTCTTTACCATACAAGGAGCGACAGTGAGAATGGATGTATCGGCCACAAACACGATTTCTGCTGAGCCAATCAGAGTCTTTCAAAACACGAAACTCGGACCCAATTCGGAGTGCTTCGTTCAAGCTTTCGTGAACAATGTCTGGGAGTTTCGACATCACAACTTTCTGACTGAGCTTTTTCAACTGAAATCGCCGCATAATCTTCTGACTGTGAACCCAGCAAAATACTCCCTGCTGCCAAATGATAGTAACCATTTCCGGGTCCTAATAACAAACCCAACTGAACAGCCAATACAGTTATATGGCAATATGAAAATTGCGAATGCACAGGAAGTGGAAGGGATGGAGAATGACCTCCAGAAAGTCGGTTCAGCTGAGATGAGACCAAATAACACGGAACGCGATCCAGAATACAAGCCACAGTGCGATGATGCCGAGGGGGCTCCACATAAACAACAGCTGCTCCAGGAACTCTTAGAGGGCTACGATGATGTCTTTAGCTGTTCTAGGTACAATGTTGGTCATTGTACAATAACAACAGAACCCATACGCATAACTACAGAGATCCCTTTTGCCTCTAAACTGTACAAAGTGCCGTTCAAATACCGGGAAGAGCTCCAAAAGCAAATTAACAGCTTGCTCACAGCTGGTGTTATGGTTGAGTCAACTACGCCCTTTCATCGATTATTTTAGTAGCTAAGAAGGACGGCAGTATGCTACCGTGCGTAGACTTCCGTAAGCTCAATTCTATCACGTATAAAAAAAAAACAAATATCCTCTTCCCCGCATAGAGGTCCTGTTGGAGAAAATCAGGGAAGCGTGCTTCTTTTCCTCTCTAGATTTGAGCTCAGGATATCTTCAAATACCTGTGGATAGGAAAACTAGTTACAAGCTTGGCGTGCAAACAGAACAAGGTACATAATTAGATGTCAGCAATGCCCTCTGGGTTTTTTCGCGAACAATGGCCAAAGTGCTAGCAGGGCTGGAAGATAGAGCGATAGCTTATATCGACGACGTGTTGGTGTTCACCAAGAATGACAGTGTAGCACCATATCTGGAAGCCCTCATGGTGGTTTTTGATAGGCTTCGAGCCTTCAATCTTAAATTATCTTCCAAGAAGTGCAAATTCGCCCTCCGAACAGCCATGTATCTTGGGCTTCAAATAAAGGCCGGGGTTTATTCCGTCTAATCTGACGGCGATCAAGGAGATATCCTCAACCCACCAATTTGCAGCAGACTCGACGGTTCCTTGGGATGGCCTCCTTTTTCAGGAAATTTGTTTCAGGTTTCGCTCACCTCGCAGAGCCGCTAACCCAACTCACAAAAAAGAACGTTCGCTTTGCATGGGGCGATCGACAGGAGAATGCGTTTGCAGCACTTAAGGACAGACCCTTAACGGAGTCAGTTCTCCGTTTTCCGGACTACGCGCTCCCTTTTCATATTTTTACGGATGCTTTCGAAGTGGCACAAGCAGGGGCGCTCATGCAAAAAGATGAGCAAGCGCAGACCTTTTATGCTGTCTCTTACTGCTCCCGCACGCTTACTCAAACAGAGCGCAAGCAGTGGGGCACACATAGTGAGTTAGGTGGAATAATTTTCGCCGTCCGCACATTCAAACCGTACATTTACATGACCAAGATCTTGCATACAGACCATCTTCCTCTTGCTTTTCTCCTGACAAAAGCGGCAGCTCATAGCAAGTTATCTCGTTGGTTAATGGAGCTCCAGGACTATGACATCACGATCCAGTACTGCGCCGGAACTCAAAACAAGGTTGAGGATGCACTTTCTCGGACGGGAATGAGCACCACACTGGCAGCATTGCGCGATAAGGAATTAAAAGACATGGCAGAATTTTCTCGCTGCCTAGCTGTTACGCAAAGTGCACGTCTCAGAGAGGCTAGGAACACAGAGGTCACGCGAAATCGCCAAGCAAATCAAAGTTCACAAAATCAAAAGGAACTTCGTGCAGGAAGTCGTGAAAAACAGTCATCATCTACCGATATGGAGGACGAACAATGCCGGGACCCGTGCTTGCGAGGCATTTTCCATCGATTAGCCAGAGAGGGATCTCTGTGTCAAGATGGGAACACTTATTACTAGGGAGACAGTGGGTATTTATACGTGGAACAACCATACGGTGCACAGGGGGACCGCCTTCAACAAGCGCTGGTCACCCCAAAACAGCTGAGAGGCTTCATTTTTGACTGTTTTCATCAAAGCTCGCTAGCAGATTGCCAATTAAGAGCAAAGAAAACTGTAGACAAAATGAAGCGATATTTCTGGCCAAGTAAAGCAGCCAACGTCGCGATGCGGTGCAAGGCCTGTGTGCTGTGTCAGATGCGACGAAAACGCACACCAGAATTCCGAACTCCGATGCGCGCCCTGGTCAACACACAAGTCCTTGCATGGACCGGCATAGACCTCTCGTGTCCTTTTGTACTTTTGGCTACAAGAAAGATGTGCGCCTTGAACATCATTTGCTGCTTCTCCAAATACATAATTTCAGTGCCGTTGGAAGATGCCAAAGCGATCACCGTAGCCAACGCAGTAATGCAGGAATTCATATTGAAGTTTGGAGCTTGTGCGGAGATAATCTCAGACAGT